TAGTACTGTATAGGATCATTCATTTCATGCAGTTCGTAGGAGGTTTTTGCGAGTTTGATTGAACCTACCCGCTCTCTCCTCAGCCGGGGTCGGACGTCGACTCGGACGGCGCCGCCGAGTCCACCGCGAATTCCAGCGAGACGGACGGAGACAGCTGCAATCAATCAATCGCAGGTTTATTGTTAATGTTAAAAGTCGTGTTCGGCTTCATTCTGTTTGAGTGACATCGCGTTGGTACGATTGGTCCAACATGTGACCCTTAACCCCACAGGGAGCTCCAGCAATTGGTCGGAGTTTTCGGGCTCTTTGGACGCTGTCAGCTACCTGTCGGGTTCCATGAGGACGAGCCGACAGAGTCTGCTGAGCATGAAGAGGACTCTGGCTCTGATCCACGTGGCGCTGGTCTGGAGCCGAGAGCCGCTGACCCTCAGCGACCTGCTCAGGTAACGACACACACACACACACACCTGCTCAGGTAACGACACACACACACCTGCTCAGGTAACGACACACACACACACACCTGCTCAGGTAACGACACACACACACACACACCTGCTCAGGTAACGACACACACACACACACACCTGCTCAGGTAACGACACACACACACCTGCTCAGGTAACGACACACACACACACACCTGCTCAGGTAACGACACACACACACACACACCTGCTCAGGTAAAGACACACACACACACACCTGCTCAGGTAACCACACACACACACACACACCTGCTCACGTAAAGACACACACACATGCTCAGGTAAAGACACACACACATGCTCAGGTAAAGACACACACACACACACACCTGCTCAGGTAGCGACACACACACACCTGCTCAGGTAGCGACACACACACACACACACACACACACCTGCTCAGGTAGCGACACACACACACACACCTGCTCAGGTAGCGACACACACACACACACACACACACACCTGCTCAGGTAGCGACACACACACACCTGCTCAGGTAGCGACACACACACACACACACACACACACCTGCTCAGGTAGCGACACACACACACACACCTGCTCAGGTAACGACACACACACACACACACACACAGCTGCAGGTCGGTTGAAGCCTGGAGGGAACCAGTGGCTTGTTTGTCCTCAGGCTGGTGAATGACGGTCACGTCCCGTACGTCAACGCTCACCAGGAACTTCCTGATGAGATGAAGCTGCGAGGCAAAGACGCTCTTCTCTTCAGAGTGCAGGTCAGCAATGATACGGAATCAATACTGTGATTGATTCCATATTCAGCGAGTTAAATCGATACTTGCGTCACTTTCAACGTGCAGAGGACTCAGTGGAAAGAAGAGTACTGACCTGGAGTTAAAGTTGGGTGCGTTGGCTTTTCTCCACAGAGCATCCCTTCCCACCGGGTGGTGCATCGTGATGCTCAGGCGCTCATCCTGCTCTTGCAGCTTCCTGTTTTTCCTCCAATCAGCCGGCAGAGTCTGCTGCACCCGTCTCTGCTCAGCCTGCGCTACCTGATGGACGCCAACCTGCCCGGTAAAAGCAGTATTAGTACCACTACTATCAGTAGTAGCAGTATAAACAGTCCTACTGTTAATGCTAACCTACAGTACTAATATCTAATGTACACCTTCTAAGACGAGCTCCACCCGTGGGTCTGCCGGCTGATGGAGCGCGCCGGTATGGCGGATCAAACGCTCTACACCTTCCACCTGGAGGGTTGCCCCTCCCTGCCGCGGTACGACGTGCAGACCGCCGCCCTCATCATCGTCACCATGAAGCTGCTCTTCGGCCTGGACGACCGCACCGAGTGGTAACCGTGGCGACCCCCCGATGCGCTCCTGCTCAAATCCTATGAGCTCGTCTGATTGGTTTAAATTTCACTGCTATTTTAAGAGCCAATCTGTGACGCGTTTCCTGCCAAGATAATAAAAAAGAGATTCATATAAAGCTTTAATGAAAACACGCTGATGTCACAGAGAAGGAAGCTTGACTTCTCTCTGAAAGGACGTTTGTGTCTTTCAGGGAGTTATCCCATCAGGCATGTGACCAGGACGCCACAGGTGAGCGCTCACAGCTAACGCTAACTTACGCTAGTAGCTGCTAACGCTAGCTGACGCTAACTTCCTTCCTCCAGGGACCATGTTCAGCCTGAGGAGGTGGTTCCGGGTGGTGCAGGCCGCTCTGACCCGAGCTCAGCAGAGGAGAAACCAGGAGGTCGCCGGGTGGGTCCGCTGGGTGGTCCGCCGCGTGGGTCCGCCCCATGGGTCCCCCGGGTGGGTCCCCCCCGTGGGTCCCCCCGGTGGGTCCCTCTCCTTTCTGTATTCACACTGTACCGGTGTCCGTGTTCACACAGGAAGCAGTGGGCGGCTCAGAAGCTTCTTCACCCCGACAGCCAGAAGACGAGTGTTGTGCTGAAGACTAAAAGTATGAGTGAACTCTGCTAACATCTGCATATATTTAGATTAGAATGGGTCATCTAGTCTGGGGGTCCCTCCTCCCTCTCTCTGCAGGGGTAACAGAGCAGGTCCAGGTCTGCTTTGAGAAGCTGTCGGGTCGTCCGGTCTCGGCCCGGCGGGGCGACCCGTCCAGCTTCAGGTTCTTCTGGGGTGACGGGGACTCTGCAGATGGACCCAGTCTGCACCAGAAGAAGCTGGACGGAGTCTTGACCCTGAAGGACGGCGTCCCGACTCCCTCCAACTCCACCTACTGGCATCCGGCTCTCAGCGCTTCGCAGTACGACCTACGGACCCCTCGACCTTTGACTCCTCCCTCATAGACTCCTCCCCTCCTAAGCCGTGCCTCCTCCTCTCCGCAGGATGTGCTCCCGGCTCTACTCCGACGTGGAGGCCACGCTGCCCCGGACCTTCGTCTGGCTGCTGCAGCTCTTCTGCTTCCTGCTGGACGTGAGGCCGGCGTACCTGTTCCAGGAGGTGCTGAAGGTGGAGACCAGGGTCGTCAACGGCAACAGCAGGAAGAGGAGCAGGAAGACCAAGACCAAGACCTGAGCTCAGAGAGGAAACAATTCTGACTATATTATTTATATTGACGGTCATGTGCAGCTGTTTTACAATCAACATTTAAATGTTTTTTTTCACCAATAAAACGTGACTCATTGAACTATAACTAATCCTGATAATATAATGAGGATATTTGAATGTGTGCATTTTCTGCTCGGAACGAGACACAAAGGACTGGAGGACCTTCCTGTAACACAAACATCTCTTCTTCTGCCTGAAACTGTTTTTCCTTCTGCCTTTTTCTTTTTTCTAATATCACAACCTCGCTGAACCTGAAAGGGGAAACAAACTGGCGTCACCCCGTCTCCTCCTCTCCTTTCCTCTCATGGCCTCTCGTTTCCTCTCTCTTTTCCTTTCACCTTCTTCTGCCCTCTTCCTCCTCCTCCAACTTCCTCCTCCATCTCCACCTCCAGCTTGCTCCTCCTCCTCCTTCATCTCGGTGTCCCCCTGCGGGTTAACGTGCAGCCACAACAAAGGAGGCAGCGTGTGTGGGGGAGGAGGGGGCTAGAAGAAGGCTAGAAGGCCCCCGCCCCTCGCGACCCCAACACGGGGGTCTCATTCCTAATCTTCCTCCTTTTGCTCCTCTTCCTCCACTTCTGCCTCTTCGTCCTCCAGTTAATTGTTTGGAGAGAATTCGATGATCAATACGTAAAACACGTCCTTCTTCAAGACGTTGAACAAACTAAAGATCAAGTTCATTTAAAACATTATTGGTCTGTAACACATAATAATATTACTTTAACCGTATAAAGAAAAAACAAAAAATATATAGTTATATTTATGACATCATTTTTTTTCAAAAGAGATTAGCTTGAATATATCATTTATTTATCATGATAGAAGGTGTGTATTAATTTCCACTTTTAGATAATCACTGAAAACCGCAGTTAACCAAGTTAATATTATTATTTATATATAATAATCTTTCTGATAACAACAGAACTCTCTGTACATTCATTGTGTATCCGCAGTTGCTTCTCGCGTGCGCGTCCTCGCGCCTCGCCTCGCGCGCTCCCGGGTTCACCGGGTTTACTTTGACACCGCTGACTCCGCGGCCACGCCCCCCGACAGCCGCGCACCCCGCGCCGGCGAATGGCGGGGCCCCCGCGGCCCGGTGACGCGCGGCCAGGCGCGTGATTGGCCGCGGCGCGCTACGCCTCGGCCTGTGATTGGCTGCGTGTTACCACCCGCCAGACTGCTTCTCATTTCTTCTGTTATTTCTTTATTTCTGAGCGTGTCTCCGCTCGGCTCGAGTCGGGAGCTTTCTAATCGAGCGCTCCCTGTTTACTTCCTCGTGATCGGCTTCACGTGCGCGCTGCTGGCAGGTCAGTCTCGCGCTTTTATTCTTCTTTTATTCTCAAATTGTTGCGCGTTCTTCTTAAAACAGCCGAGCCTGCGCGCGCTCAGGTGGGCTCGTGCACGCCGCTCGGTTTACCTGAGGTCAGGCTGAACCCGGTGTCTCCTGTGCGCGTGCGTGTGTACAACAGTTGCATCGCCGGATGATAAAGTTGATGCAGGTTGTCTTTGTTTCCACTGGTGAGTTCGATCTCATTCTAGACTTTCATTATTTAACGTATAACCTATACTGTGTATGTTATATCTATATGTTGATTATGTTATACACGCATATATTTATTACATTTAATATACATGTATAATTACAGATATGTTTATATTCATATATTCAATACGTATATAACTGTCATAATCTGACTACAGAATGATCATTTTAATATTAAAATATAATAAGAGGAAGCACATGTGACAATGATGTACCATTGAATAATATCTATTATTATATATGTTTTGTCAATTAGAATGTCAGGTATTCCATGTTTTATTTTAAGTAATAGTAATAGATGCTCATTAAACATCAAAACATTTATAAATCAGCATTCTGAACAATTGATGAGACTCGATGTGTCCTCAGGATTTAAACCGATCAATAACATCATACGGATCGATAAATCCTTGTCGACAGGTTTATCATTAATAACAGATTCATTTTGATTTGTGTGATTGTGAATGAATGTTTCTATTAAACATCAAAACATTTATAAATCAGCATTCTGAACAATTGATGAGACTCGATGTGTCCTCAGGATTTAAACCGATCAATAACATCATACGGATCGATAAATCCTTGTCGACAGGTTTATCATTAATAACAGATTCATTTTGATTTGTGTGATTGTGAATGAATGTTTCTATCTGCTGTGGTGCATTTGTGCTGATCTGAAACGTGGGAAATCTCAGTGACCGCTGATGATACTTTGTTGTCTCCGACTACACTTCCTGTTTGAAGCTGTCTCTCTCTCTCTCTCTCTCCCCCCTGTCTCTCACTCGGGGGTGAGTCGGTGCACGTTAATGAGGGAGGAGGGAGGGGGCGGGGCTTGTTTTGGAGGGGGGGTGTATTCATCCATTGTGGTGCAGGGGAGGTTTCCTGTGTGTGTTGTTACATTTCACTCGCTGTTAGTTAAGACGTGAACGACAGCAACGACGTCGTCATTGTTTGTCTTTCTGCACATTAATTAGCTTATAAGAAATATAAAATACATTTCATAGCATAAAGAAACATTCACTGAACTGAATCTTGTCTAGAAAAAACATTTGGGTTCCTGAAGCAAACAGTTCCTGTGAAAGGAAGGAAAATAACATGTTTACGTCACCTTCGAGTGTCAATCATTCTGGATCCAAAATATTGAAGAACCACTGGGCAGAACACTTCTGATTCGGGATCAATGTGGTGAGAAGGTTCTGAGGGATTCGGGGTCCCTTTGCTGAGTCTCTCTCGTCCTGCAGGTTGACGGCCGGACGGCGACCACCATGGAGCCGAAGCCGTGCATCGAGTACCACGACCTGGAGGCCGCCGAGGCGCTCGTCAGCATGAGCTTCTGGGGTCAAAGGTTGCATAAGCCCCGCCCACTGACCCCCACCTCCGACTCCTGTGACTCCATCCATCTCCACCAGGAGGCGGGCGACGCTCCCAAAGACCTGATTGCCCTCTCGTCATTGGTGAGAAACGTAATTATGGTCATGAACATAAATAATGTGTGTAAATATCCTACGATATAATTATTTATTTATACATACTTACTAGATTGTAAAAATATCACATTGGATATTGAATATATATATAAAGGGTTGCAGCTAACAACTATTTTGATAATCAATTAATCTTCTTCGTCTTTTATTAAATAAAACGGATGACTCTTACTGCAGTATAAAAGCTAAATTAGACGAAAGGAAATGCAATATGTATGTAAATATTATACATGTGTAATGTAATGTATTCATGCATTAAGTATATGTATGTACTATGTATAAATATATTTGTATGTTTATAGAATTATTCCTAATGTTGGATCAGTTTTCTGTTCTTTTTTACTTACTTTTACCATCTAAATGACGGCTGTATTGTCTATAGGCTCTTGTTTAATTATCAGTTTTCCTCCATCAGTGTATGACTCCGCCTCACAGTCCGAGCTTTGCTGAGGCCTCCACTACCTCCGCCCTAAGTCCCACCTCCAACCCGGCGCTGCCCCGCCCTATCCTTGGCGCAGGCTCCGCCCTCCTCCTCAGTGACTCCTACGCCTGCCCTGCTCCACCTTCCACCCCCTCACCCCCCCTCGCAGCAGAGACCTCAGCACCTCCACCCCGGACGGAGTCGTCCCACGTGACCCCGTCCAGCAGAGCGATGGTCACCAGCGTCATCCGCCACACCGCCGACAGCCCCGGCGCTTCTCTGGCCGCCGCCAGGCCAGCGGAGACGTCCACGCTGCCTCAGTTGGTGATGCCAGAGACTCTTGCGGAGGAGAAGGTCGGAGCTCCTCTGCCCTCCCCCCCTCGCTCCTCCTCCTGCTCCCCTCCAGTCCTCTGCCAGGTCTTCCCGGTGAGCAGCAGGACGGGTGTGATCTCGGCCTTCGTGCAGGCACCGGTTCAGGTGCAGACTCAGGGGGGGCCCCTGCCGCGGGGCACCGTGATGTTCGTGGTGCCCCAGGCGTCCGTGTCCCAGGCGCCGCAGGGCACGCAGACTGTCGTGACGCTGGGCAACACTAAGCTCCTCCCCCTGGCACCGGCGCCCGTTTACATGCCGACGGCAGCGAGCGGCTGCGGTGCCTCGCAGGCCGACTTCTCCCGCAGACGGAACTACGTCTGCAACTTCCCCGGCTGCAAGAAAACTTACTTCAAGAGCTCCCACCTGAAGGCTCACCTGCGCACGCACACAGGTGAGGCCGGACGTCACTTCAACCAGTATTGTCAAACCTTTGGTTACACCCAGCATGGATTCCGATATAATAACAACATGTTAATACTGACACGTTTAGCCTGTTAGCATGCTAACATCAGGCCAGGGTTTAAGAGACCAGGTGACCTCATAGCTTCCTCTATGATGAAAGAGCGTGGCATTAAAAACAAAGGAACCAGCTAAATAACTCAAGTTTGTTCTTGTCACACAACTAAACTTTGATGAAACGTCTTTATCACAAACACTTTATTAGACAAAATAATTAAGAAAAAATCTCAAAAACTTGAAATGACAACAATAAAATGAGAACGTCCCGTACATTAAACAAAGGTAAGATCCAAGACAACTGCTTCTCCTCTGCAGGCGAGAAGCCGTTCAGCTGTCACTGGGACGGCTGCGACAAGAAGTTCGCCCGCTCCGACGAGCTTTCCCGCCACCGCCGCACGCACACCGGCGAGAAGAAGTTTGTCTGCAATGTGTGCGACCGCCGCTTCATGCGCAGCGACCACCTGACCAAACACGCCCGGCGGCATATCACCGCCAAGAGGGCGTCGTCTTGGCCCACCGAGACCCGGGACCCGGGACCTCCACAGAGGGGCCCTGCCCAAGGGCCAGAACTGGCGCCACAAGGGCCCCTTCCCGTCGGCGTGCTGGTCGCCACCGCCAACTGATGGGCTCGGTCCTCCCCGCTCCCATACGGGGGCGACCCCGGACCCCCGAGGGCAGGGCTTAGAATTTCAACTTGAACTTTGCTGGTGAACAATGGACACTTAGCTCCGGCTGCGTCGACGTTAGCTTCATTTATAACGTGTCACTGTGGCGTCAAACTGTACGGACTCAGCAGCGCCTCCCAGAGGCTGGAAACACTCATCGCGTTCCAAGAGATGTATGAAAAGATGGAAGGGGGCGCCAGAGGAAGGTTGTGTTATCTAAATGAATACCTTTATCTTCTGTACGGTGCTCTGAGAAGAACATGTTTGCTGTACTTTGAGCTAAATGCTAACGTTAGCATATTAGCAGGAAATGTTAACGTGTCATGCTACGTCAACATGTTAAGCATGTTGACAAGCTCACAGTTAGCATGTTCACGCTTAGCAGGTTAGCCAACTTTAACATGCTGATATCTGTACCGTTAGCATGCTAACAGTAGCAATTAGCTGGAAAGTCATTCAATTGTTTAACAGTCATCCTGTTAAAATGTTATAGTTCAGCTTTTGTTTGACCAACTTAACGGAGAAGTTTCCACATTTTAACGTTTTTTAGTTTTAGTAATAAGCGTTAATTCCCCACCAAAAAACAATGCGAACTCGAGCCGCGGTAAAAGACGAGGAGGCCGAGGGTCAATGTTCAGATGGTCCCCGGTGACGTAGACGGAGGACCGAGCGAGTTTCCCATTGAGCTCAGGAAATTTTATTCCAAAACCAACTCACCGGAGGAGGACGGGGCGACAAGCTGCTACTCATCCAGCACAGGATCCAACTGGGTCCAACTGGAACCAACTAGAACCAACTGGATCCAACAAGATCCAACTGAAACCAACAGGAACTTGACTTGCACTGGAATATTTTTTTTTAAACTAGCTTGTTTTTTTGACCCCCCCCTCCTCCCATCGAGTACCATCATGTTTACTTCATGTGTAAATGTCATGTTTAGCTTAATGTGCGCACTCTAGTTTTATCTGTTGCCAAAGCCTCCACCTTGTGCTCCTGTTCGTCTGTGACTGTAAATATTGTAAATATATTGGTATCTATATGAATGTTAACATGTATTCCAACAGTACGAGTTATTGATATTTTAGGGATGTCAGTAGACAGTATTCCTCCCTGTGATGGTACCTTTGCTTTACACCGTATAATTATTATTTAATAAACATTTGACATATCGTAGCCAGTAAGGAAAACCCCTTCTTATTAAATGTTATTCTTAATAATAAAGGCTGAATAAATTATCTGAAAATAATCCCATCTCTGGAAGGTTGCCTGTAAGCAACAGTGAAGAATACGTTTTTATAATAAAAAACTTACCAGGAAGATGGTTTTGTTTTTTGTTTTAAGAGTAAATTATCCAATAGGTGAACAGACGAACAGATGAACAGTCAATGAAAGAAAAGTAAAAATGTAAAATGAACGCCTGATACAGGTTGGATACAGGTTAGTTTAGCTTAGCATAAGCACTGGCAGAAAAGCACAAAACACGCCTGGGGCTTCTTACCATCATGTTGTAGCTTCTTTCTGTTATAATGAATAGAAATATAGAAAATAAGATGAATTGTTACATACATTGCCACTTAAAACTTCCATTTCACCACACGAAAACGGCACTGTAACGTCTTCCCTTCTACAACCGGAACTCTCTCCCCCAACCCTCCTGGTAACAGTGATTGTCCAATCAAGAGGCAGCGTTCAGGGGGCGTGACCAATGGGAGAGGACAGTGTTGAGCTGGGAAAGTGAGCGGGCCGCGTCATTGGTCGTTGAGGGACCCGCCCCCTTGTCTTACTGACCGACATTCGGTTGAAGCCAAACAGAATGAATTAATGACGAGAAATATATAAATAATAACGGAAGTCAGGTAGAGCGGTACTGCAGCACCACTTCAAAACAACGCGAGACCAGCATCAATATGTAAATACAAATGTCCTTTATTGGCATTTGTATTTTATATTTTTAATGCAATTATTGTAAGTCGCTTTAGATAAAAGCATCTCCAAAATGAAATGTAATTGTTATTATCTCTAGTATAATAATACATGTCCCTCATTCTTTCTGACTTTGTGACGTGGCATTTGAAAAGAACTCTTTGAATAAACCTTGTGATTATGAGTTTGCCTTAATGTCTCCTCTTCACCTACATTTACACGCTGTGTTGTTGTGTTCTCCAGCAGTCAATCAGAGCCGAGCCTCGAGGCCGGAAACAGCTGACTCCAGTCGGTTTGGCGCCATGTTTTAGAGGGAGATGAGCCTTTTGTTTGTGCTTCAGAGACAGAAACGTTGAATCATAGGACACACGCAATGATTCCGGGTCGATATATCGGTACATGGAGTCAAGTTACCCGGATGTGTTCTTACTTTTTTGACTCTTTATAGGCTTAATGTCCGTTCATGTTCTCACATATGATATTAAAAACAGTACCAGAACTAAATGTGTTTTTGTATGTTATATGTATTCATACAAATAGAAATTGTGTGGACGAACAAGCCGCTATATAATAGTGAACTAAAAAATGTATTCATACGTAAATACAATCTAATAATCCGAATTAAACAAGAATATATCGATGAGGAAGTCAGAGTTCCATTTGAACTTCTGTCTCTATTAGATAATCAAAGTCTAACTGTTTCGGGTGTAACAACAAACATACGTTATCCGTAAACTCATTCAAAGAGTTTCGTAACGTCTCTTTTGTGGAGTTTTGTAACCTCGGCTCAAACAGCCGGATGGCAATGCAGCAGCACGTGATGGCGGCTTCGCCACCTGATTGGCTCCGACACAGCGTCACTTAAAGAGACCCTCGCGTCCCTATTGGCCGGTCTCTTCTGCCGCCAAGATTCCAATAAAGAAGGCAGCGGACATCGGGAGCCGCTTCAGTCTGCTCTCCTCGTCTCCTCGCGTCCTTCTGTTCGAGCTTCAGCGCTTAATCCCTCGACTTGAACCTCTTGTGCGCTTCTGGAGGAGCTCGACATGTTTCCTACTCGCAGTCCTCTCTCCGTGAAGAAGGAGAAGTCCCTCAGCGGGCAGATGGACAACATGGCGCTGGACAAAGAGAACACGGTGAGAACCAGCAGACTCTCCGAGTGTGTATTTCAGCAGATGGGATCACGGTACAAGTACTAGGTGTATGTAAAGGTACTAGCTGTGTGTACAAGTACCTGTTTGACGGAGGCCTTTTCTCTCTTTCAGCCTCCGAGTCTGAGCGCGAGCCGCATCCTGGCGTCTAAAACCGCGCGAAACCTCTTCAATGACGCCACGGTGAGTGACGTCATCTCACGCAGAGTGCCTCTGTTCTCCTTAAAGTCTGGGGTTGTTACGCCGTTTTGATTAGTTTAGCTCTCGTGGCGCCAAAAGTCTCGGTTCTGGCGCCAAAGTTGGATCAGCTGTTTCTGTCGGTGATCGATGCCTTTGAGGGGCGCGTGAGTGGATCGAGATCATGTTGATTGATGCAGCAACATTGTCACTGGAAATGATGAATGCTCGTATTGATCCGCAGCGGATCCACAGTGTTCTTAATAGATCCGTGATTGATGTTTCGACACGACTCATTGATTAATGTGTAGATTGATCGTAGCTTTCTCAAATGTTACCTGGAGGCCAACAGGGTGTCCAAGAACAGTTTGTGATCCATAACATGAACTCTGCTGATTAGTTGGTCATTTAAAGACTCAAGTGAACCGTGTGCAGCAACGCGTGTGTTCTGTGTCTCAGGCAAAAGCAGTGAAGAAGAGCGGCAATGAGGTAGAGGAGGAGCCTCTACTGAAGGACAACCCTCGCCGCTTTGTCATCTTCCCCATCAAGTACCACGACATCTGGCAGATGTACAAGAAGGCCGAGGCCTCTTTCTGGACAGCAGAGGAGGTAACCACGGAGATGAGGATGCGTGTGGGCGGGGCCTCCAGGTGTCTGGTGATGCTCACTTCCTGTATTTCGTCCAGGTGGATCTGTCCAAGGACCTGCAGCACTGGGAGTCTCTGAAGGACGAAGAGCGGTTCTTCATCTCTCACGTGTTGGCCTTCTTCGCCGCCAGCGACGGCATCGTCAACGAGAACTTGGTGAGCAGGCAGCAACAGTTTCTCATGTTGGTTTTAATTTGAGTTGTATTACAAACCTAAATGCTACCTCGAACATCCTAAAATATTCCCCTGGTCGTGTGACCCCCAGGTGGAGCGCTTCACCCAGGAGGTGCAGGTCACGGAGGCCAGATGTTTCTATGGTTTCCAGATCGCCATGGAGAACATCCACTCAGAGATGTACAGCCTCCTCATCAACACCTACATCAAGGAGCCCAGCGAGAGGTGAGCTGGTCTCTACGGGTCTGTCGGGGGTCTCTACGGGTCTGTCGGGGGTCCCTACTGGTTGTCTCACGGTGCGTTCACTGACCCGCAGAGAATACCTCTTCAATGCCATTGAGACTCTGCCGTGTGTGAAGAAGAAGGCCGACTGGGCCATCAACTGGATCGGTAACCAGGCTGCCAACTACGGTAAAGACACGGGAACTTCCTGTCGTGGGGCCAGCGGGGGCCGATACCGGGTATTGATCCGCTCTCTCTGGTTCCTCCAGGAGAACGCGTGGTGGCCTTCGCTGCCGTGGAGGGCATCTTCTTCTCTGGTTCCTTCGCTGCCATCTTCTGGCTGAAGAAGAGAGGCCTGATGCCCGGCCTGACTTTCTCCAACGAGCTGATCAGCAGAGACGAGGTCATCATTGCTCATTGATCGGGGTTCGTTGCTGGTCTCACTGCGTGCGTGGGGGTCCTCACTGGTTCCTGTTACTGGTTTCAGGGTCTCCACTGTGACTTTGCCTGCCTGATGTTCAAACACCTGGTAAACAAACCGTCGGTAGAAAAGGTCTCCAAGATCATCCAGAACGCCGTGGAGATCGAGCAGGTGGGTGGCCAACGCGCTGCCGGTTCTCCGCCCCACTCGGTCGCTGGGGAAACTGGTCTCACTGGTCTCTGGTTGGTTCCCCTCAGGAGTTCCTGACGGAGGCTCTGCCGGTGAAGCTGATCGGGATGAACTGCGAGCTGATGAAGCGGTACATCGAGTTCGTGGCCGACAGGCTGATGCTGGAGCTGGGCTTCTCCAAGGTAAGGGCGTCCCAGCAGAGCCGCCGGGTTCGGTCTGTGGTGATGAGACGCGCAGGGGTACGGACCTCAGCCGGTGATGGGGGCTGAGTGCTGCTGCAGACGTTCTGACCGGGGGACGAGTGGTTCGCCGGCAGAGCGACAGCAGCACGACACAGACGCTGGACTGAACAGACCGAGTTCGCCTGGGGGGGGGGGGTCGTGGTAGGACCCGGGTAGGGGGCTGTGCCTGTAGACTAACTGGCTCCTCTCTGCAGATCTACCGGGTGGAGAACCCCTTTGACTTCATGGAGAACATCTCTCTGGAGGGGAAGACCAACTTCTTTGAGAAGCGTGTGGGCGAGTACCAGAGGATGGGCGTGATGTCCGGCACCACCGACAACACCTTCAGGCTGGACGCCGACTTCTGAGCACCACCTCGCAGCCTTCTGAAAGGCCCGCTACCTCGCTACCCCAGTGCATGCTGGGAGGGCTCCTGCACACTCAGCCCAGAGATCGCAAACCCCAACCAGTTTACTCTACTGCTGGTTTGGATCAGAACTCTTTTTATATTTATAAAACCTGCTATATTAGTATGTTTTTCTGAGGGAGTTTTTAAATATGGTTTCAATGTCATTTGTTTATTTGTACAGTTACTTTTTTTTTTAAATAAAACTTGATCTAAGTGTTAATGTGTCGCTCGTCATCACTTTCTGCTCTTCACCCAGAGGCGTTTATGCTAAGCTAACTGGCTGTTTATCTCCAGCATAAAGACATTTAACCGAATTGATTTTAATCTAACCGTAAAACAAGTATTCAGTTTACAATAGTACCTCATGTACTCTGACATGTAAGGAAATGAAACCACGAAGTGTCCTTAAAAGTGCATAACAAATGTGTGCAGAATGTATCATTAAACTACCGTTAACATTTAATCTTAAACAAACGTGCGATGTTTCGTGTTGCTGCGTTGTTAAATTAATGCTTAGTGTTTAACTTTATCAAGAAGCTTTGACTTATTTTATCTGAATAAGTGACAACTTCTCCTTTTGTAAGTGAGGTTAATGAGTCATTCTAAGTCTTATGATTAGTGACGTCATCCAGCCGAACCGCTACAGACCGCGAGCATCTACGTCACCGCGGTCTTTGTTTTTAATTTGAATAAAGATTAAAATTGTAAAGATACTCTGTGCGCCGACGTAGTAAAAGGTGACAAAGAATCTTTAGCTGACCGTTGTTCGCGCCGACAGTGTCTCTGCGTGATGACGTAATGGCCCTCGCGAACGTTTTCGTGATGACGTAGAACCAGGAAGTAAAAAGTCGGAACGAGCTCCGCCTTCATGCCACAACATGTCGGTTTCCAACCCGAGACAAACGTTTTCTATCCCGGTGAGTTTCCCCCGCTTCTCGGTCACCGTCATCTCCGTTTTCTTTGTCAAAATTTAATTTTCATTGTTCACTTTTTATTGGCCCTTTTCCGGTTAGCAGGCGAGCTAGCACCTGAGCTAGCCGCTTTGTTTACGAGCTGCTCAAAGTAATACATGTTCAATGTAAGTGTCTTTTATGACACGTTTAAGATGTTTACCTGAGTTCTGTAATGTTCTATTTGTGTTCTGGTGAATTTGTTGTAAATCCCATCGAAGTGCGTCTTCCTTGGTTTAATTGTACTAATTCGAATCGGCTTTGAGTCCAGTTTAATATGTTTAATATCCTCTGAATTAAATTACACTCCTTTATAGTTTGTGTACCGACTTTGTTTGAAAACTCAGTGAGATACTAACGCATTCATGAATACAGTTACTGCTGTCAATCATTATTACTTTATTTAATAAACTTTATTCAGGAGACGGGTCCTAAATGTTCCCTGTGGAAAAGAGAATAACGGACTTATAAAATGACAACAGGAGATGATTTGTGTTCAGGTTTTGTGTATCAATGACTCCACTTGTCATCCCCATCAGGCGATTCCTTTCGCTGGGACCATCCTGGGCGGGCTGCTGCCGGGCGAGATGGTTCTCGTTCAGGGCTCCGTGCCGCCTGGGGCCCACAGGTGAGGACCACCTGCTAGACGTGGAGAACAATAACCCCTGTTTGATTAATATACCCCCTCTACCCCCCACACACGCTCACACGCAGGTTCCAGGTGGACTTCCTGTGCGGCAGCAGCGTGAAGCCGAGGGCCGACGTGGCTTTTCACTTCAACCCGAGGTTCAAGAGGTCTCCGAGCGTCGTCTGCAACTCTCTGCAGAAGGAGCGCTGGGGTCCGGAGGAGGTCCTCCACACGGGGGCCCTCAGGCCCGGGGAGACCTTCGAGCTCGTCGTCCTCGTCCTCAAGGATGCCTTCAAGGTCAGACGCATTACATAGATATAAGGGCTGTCAATGAAAGGACAAATTAATACGAGACATAACTACTTGTACAGGTCGTTTATTTAAGTTTAAACATATTTAACAGCATATTAAATGAACTAAAGGCCAAGACCAGACCCCTCCCCCCT